GCCATTCGGTCCATTGAGTCAGTCCACCATTTATCATGGCTGATATGTTTCTTAACCCCAATCTCCTGCCTTCTCCTCAGAACCCTTGATCTCCTTACCAATCAAGAATCTATCTGTCTCTGACAAAATATACTTGATGACTTAGCATCCACAGCCTTCTGTAGCAGTGTGTTTCACACATTCGTCGCCTTCTGGCTGAAGAAAATCCTCCTCATCTCAGTTCTAAGGGGATGTGCCTTCACTTTGAGTCTGTGTCCTTGGGTCCTAATCTCTCCTATAATGTAAATATCTTCTCCACATCCATTCTCTCCAGGTGTCTCAGTACTCTGTAAGTTTCAGTTAGATTCCCTTCATCCTTCTAAACTTCATCGCGTACAGATCTAGAGTCCTCAACCGCTCCTCATATGAAAAGTCCTTCATTCTCAGGATCATTCTTGTGAACCACTCTGGATCCCTCCAAGGCCAGCACGTCCTTCCTCAGATACTAGGCCAAAACTGCTCACAACATTCCAAACATGGTCTGACCAGAGATTTATACAGCCTCAGCAGTACATCCCAGCCATTGTTTTCTAGCCCTCTTGCATTGAATGCTAACAGTGCATTTACCTTTCTATCTGCCAACTAAACTTGCATGTTAACTTTAAAAGAATCCTGAACTAGGACTCCCAAATCCCTTTGTGCTTTAGATTTCCAAAGCCTTTCCCCATTTAAAAAATAGTCTACACCTCTATCCTTCCTACCAAAGTGCATAACCTCACACTTTACTGCGTTGTATTCTGCTGCCACTTCTTTGTCCACTCTCGTAGTTGTCTAAGTCCTCCTCAGCCACCCTCCTTCCTCAACACTACCTGTCCCTCCACCGATCTTTGTGACATCTGCAAACTCAGCAACGATGCTGTCAATTGTATCTTGCAGATTGTTAATGTATTTTGTGAATAGTTATGGTCTTAACACTGAGCCCTTCGGAAGTCCACTAGTTGCCAGTTGCCAATCTTATAAAGACCCCTTTATCCCTACTATCTGCCTTCTGCCAGTCAGCCAATTCTCTTTCCATTTTAGTATCTTGTCCCTAACACAATGGGCTCTTCTCTTATTTAGCAGCCTCATGTGCACCACCTTGCCAAAGGCCTTTTGGAAATCCAAATAGATCACGTCCAAAGGCTGTCCTTTGTCTAATTTGCTCATTACCTCCTCATTGAATTCTAACTGATTTGTCAGGTGTGGTCTCCCCTTGATTAAGCCGCACTGACTAACACTTATTTTACTATGCACTTGCAAGCAATTTGCAAATTCATCCTTATTAATAATGAACTCTAAAATCTTACCAACAATTGTGGTCAGGCTAACCAACCTATAATTTCCCATCGTCTGCCTCCCTACCTTCTTAAACAGGGGTGTTATATTAGCCGCTTTCTAGTCCTCTAGGATCCTGCCTGACTCCAGTGATCCCTGAAAGGTCATCACCAGTGTCCCCACAATCTCCTTGGTTATCTCCTTCACCCCTGGTTTGTTGTCCATGCGATTTGGGTGATTTATCCACCATCATACCTTTCAGCTTCCCCAGGACTTTCTCCTTAGTGATGGCCTCTACACTCACCTCTGCCCCTGACTCTCTTGAAGTTCTGGTATCAAGACCGATGCAGCATACCTGTTCAATTCCTCTATATTTCTTTCCCATTACTGCCATTTCAGCCTCATTTTCTAGTGGTCCAATGTTCACTTTTATCTCTCTCTTACCTTTTATATATCTTAAGCAAACTTTTGCAATTTCTTTAATATTACTTGTTAGCTTATCCTCATAATTCATCTTCTCCCTCCTTATTGCTTTTGTAGTTATCCTCTGCTGGTTTTTAACCAGCTGCTCTGCCCAGGACTGTAAGACACTTCAGAAGGTTGCGTGCACAGCCCAGACCATCATGGAAGCTAACCTCCCATCAGTGTACTCCATTTACACTTCCTGTTGCTGCAGAAAGGCTGCCAACATCACCAAAGACCCCTCCCACCTCAGTAATGCTCTTGTACAACCTCTTCTGTCAGGTAGAAGATACAGAAGCTAGAACACATGCACCAACAGGTTCAAGGGCAGCTTCTTCCCTGCTGTTTTTGGACTGTTGAATGGACATTCTTACATCCAATAATGTTGATCTTACTAATGTTGATTTTGCTTTGCATACCTCCTGTGCAGTTGTAACCTATATGCCTCGCTCTGTCTAAGCACCTAATGATCTGTATGTCTTTGTTTGAAATGATCTGCCTGTACTGTTCACAAAACAAAGCTTTTCACTGTACTTAGGTATATGCAACTGCAGTAAATCAAATCAAATCAAATCAATTAAAGACTTCCTAATCCTCTGTCTTCCCACTAATCTTCACCACATTGTATGCTTTTTCGTTTGCTTTTATGCTGGCCCTGACTTCCCTTGTCAGCCATGATTGCCTCGTCCTCCCCTTAGTGTGTTTTTTCTTCCTTGGGATGAATATTTGCTGTGCCTCCCAAATTACCCCAGAAACTCCTGCCATTGCTGCTGCACTGTCTTCCCTGCGAAGCTCCCCTTCCAATCTTCTCTGCCCAGCTCCTCCCGCATGTCTTTTTAGTTACTTTACTATATTTTAGTACCTTTACATCTGATTCAAACTTCTTCTCAAACTGCAGGTTGAATTCTATCATATTATGGGCAGCTCCCCCTAGGTGTACCTTCAGTTTAAACTCCCTTATCAAGTCTGCCTTCAAACACATCACCAAATCATGAGATAGTAGGAACTGCAGATGCTGGAGAATCTGAGATAACACCGTGTAGAGCTGGATGAACACAGCAGGCCGAGCAGGAAGGCTGACGTTTCGGACCTAGACCCAGAAGGGTCTAGGTCCGAAATGTCAGTCTTCCTGCTCCTCTGATGCTGCTTGGCCTGCTGTGTTCATCCAGCTCTGCACCGTGTTATACCAAATCATGAATTGCCTATTCCCTGTTGGGCTGTACTACAAACTGTTCCAAACAAAAATCTCATAGACATTCCACAAATTCCTTTTCCTGGGATCTGCTACCAACTTGATTTTTCCAGTCCGCATGCATATTGAAGTCCCCAATGATTATTGTAATAATGCCTTTCTTATGTGCCTTTTCTACCTCCTGACTTATTTTCTGTCCCAAATCATGTCTGTTGCTGGGAGGCTCCCGTTAGGGTCTTTTTTCCCTTCGCATTTCCTCAACTCTATTCACACAGATTGTATGTTTCCCAGTCGTATGTCACTTGTTGCTATTGATTTAATTTCTTTCTTATTGCTAAGGCAATCCTGCCCCATCTGCCCCTCTGTTAGATAAGACATGTATCCCTGGATATTTAGTTCCCAGCCATGATCCCAGTGCAGCAGCCATGTCTCTGTGATGCTCTCAATATCATACCTGCTGTTGGAACAGCACCCTCCTTCTCCAGTACTGGTGCCAATGTCCCATGAGCTAGAGGCTGATTTTGAACACTGCAACACATCAAGGAGGGAGAGTTACCCAGATACTGTGTTTCAGGAGACACCTGTTAGATAGCTCCTTTTTCCCCCTTACCAATTTTTGAACCAATGTTCACCAGTAATCTTGACCCTGTGCCAATTAGCTTGTGGCTAAAGTAGTAACCAGAAGATTATGACCTTCTTGGTTCTGCTTTTTAATTTAGCCCCAAGCTGCTCATATGCCCTTAGCAGCACCTCTTTCCTCTTTATACCAATATCGTTGGTACCCATGTGAACTGTGCTAACTAGATCTTACCCCTCCCACTCCAAGTTCCTCTGCAGCCCAGATGAAATGTTCTGAACACAGGCATCTGACAGGCGACACAGCCATCGGGACTCTCAATCCTGCCTGCAGAGAACAGTGTCTGTTCCCCTGATTATACTATCCCCAATTACAACTATATTTCTCTTTTTCTTCTCCCTCCTGAATGGCTCCCTGAGCCATGGTGACCTCCCAACTCTCATCCACACACAGAGCAAGAATCTGTTAGACAAGCTCAAGAGTTAAGCCTCCTTCAGCACTACCTCCCAGATCCCTGTACCTGTCTCACTCATTGTCACACCGTCCTGTTCCTCAGCACTGACCAAGTTTGAGGTACTTAATCTAAGGAGTTTCTCCTGAAACACAGCATCTGGGTAACTCTCCCCTCCCTGATATGTTGCAGTGTTCGAAGTTCAGACTCTAGCTCATCAATTCTGAGTCAGAGTTCCTAAAGCAACCAATACAGCCTTTCCAACAGATTAACTACCTCAATGAGGGAACTCATATTCTGTGAGGTAGACAACAGGAGGCTGGAAGAACACAGCAGGCCAGGCAGCATCTGGAGGAAAGGAGCAGTCAATGTTTCAGGTACTACCCTTCTCAGGACCAGGGCTAAGGAAGGGTAATACCCGAACATTGACTGCTCCTTTCCTCCAGATGCTGCCTGTCCTGCTGTGGTCTTCCAGCCTCCTGTTAGTCTACCTTGGATTCCAGCGTCTACAGTATTTTTTTTGTCTCATATTCTGCACCTGGCTCACCTTGTGACAACCACTAAACCCAGAGCTTTGCTTTTATGACTCTGTGAATATTATGGATTCAGCCATATTGATAGCATTCAGTGCATAAGAAAAGCTAGCCATTCTATGGAAACTGATGAAACTTAGCTACATTGGAGACAGGTAACTGAGAGGGTTGATAAGGGTAAAACAGTTGTCGTAGTATATGAACTTCCAAAGCGCATTTGATAAACTTGAGGATTGTTGAAAAAAAAAGACTTGCTTTTCGGAGCTTTTCATCCAGCATTCCTTAGTACAAGTGCAAAAATCCCAAATTTCAATTTCAAAATGCTAGTTCCAATTTATACTGTATGGAAAAAAAAAGTGCAGATTGATTGACAAGTTAACTCTGGTCAAGGCTTTGCAGTGGAGAATGTACCACAGAACTTTTGTTCCCACTCTGTTGTAGAATTCAAAAATGGTAAAATGATTGGACATGTTCCATTTTTCTGGAGAGAACATGCTCCTGAATATGAATAAATGTAACTTGCAGCAAGTGAAAGTGAGCCAAACAGCAAACTCAACAAATAATCTTAAATTAGTTGTTCGTGTCGTTATTTGCAAACTCAGCAAGTGCCATTATGGAATCACATCTAACATTAGACGTTTTTTCTGAGCTTTGCAAGCGTGAGCCGGTTGATGCAATCAGGGCTCTGCCTATTGCGAACAAAGGGATGTACTGTTTGATATGATCCACTGATTGTTGGCAATGAAGTATTTGTTAATAGCAGTATGAATGGTATTTTTCTCTAAAATGATGCTGTTATAAAGCCAAAAAAACATTCTGCTACTCAAATGAACAATGTGACATACAAATTAACAGTGTCGGTGGTACGTAAGCTGTACTTAACAATGATTGGAAGATTGTAATCAAATAGATTATGTCATACTATAATAGTTCTGAAGAAAGATCATCACAGGACTCGAGACCTTAACTCTGTATTCTCTACACAGATGCTGCCAGATCTGCTGAGTTTTGCCAGCAATTTCTGTTTTTGTGTCTTTCAGATCGTACCACAACATTCGCAATTTGAGAGTGTTAGGAAAATCTGAAGCTGAATGTTAATGCCAATGCTAAATTAATCAGTTACCTCTGGTTCATTTGCTGCAAGTGGGTTAAGTTTGTTCAAATTTTGCTCCATCTTCTCTGTAATGGTAGTATCGAAAATTGATAGGTTGTGATCTCTATCCAAAATCGTATGGGTTGATGCTTTTTTGAAGTATTTTTAGTGTAAAGCACATTTAATCTTCAGTATACTGGCAGACAACCTGGTAAGAGTGGGATTAGTATAATGCAGCTAATGGCTTCTTCTTCAGTTTAATTTCAGAGACTAATCATTTTCTGTCCATGTTCTATTTCATACTGCAGATTTTGACTTGAAAATGCTGTTGCTTTTTTATAGACGATAGAAGATGCTCCACGTAACTTTAAGTTAGGAGCTGCTTTATTCAACTTTGTCTGGTATATGGTGAAACTACCAAATCCTGAGAGGTAATTGTTAACAGTAAAAATAAGTTATTGAGTTGACATTTCTGTTTAAAGATCTTTTGCTCAGTCAGCTTGTGTTGTTGAGACTTAAGAAATTAGGTGAGAAATTGGAATATGTTTGTTACTTGCGAATTGAATAGGTAATATCAAGAATAATAGATGGAAGTGGATTATAATAGGTTGGTATTATATCAGTTTAAGTAGATATGAGATGGATAATTTTATGAAACTATTTTAGTAACTTTTCTCATGTGATTATCATAAGAACTATTTGGTTTGCTGATGTCCTTTTTTAGAAGGATATCGGCCATCTTTATCCAGTCTGGCCTAAATGTGGCTCCAGACCTACAACAATGTTGTTGACACTTAACTACCCTCTGCGCAATTAGGGATGGGCAGTAAATCCTGGCCCAACTGGTGGCACCTACATCTGTGAGGGACTTTAAAAAAACCTGTCCCAATTTCTAAATCACTAGCATGAATCACTACCTTGAAGGACTTAATGAAATTTGATGCAGTCAACACTGGCTTATTGATCAAAGTGGCATTCAACTTCTCAAAAGATGCCTGGCACTTCCCTGAGCACACTATCTTAGCATTCTTTTGGAGTGGATCTGTCAGTGGAGCAGCTGTTGGGCTGAAATTTGATAGAAATGTAGACCATAAGACCAAAAGGTATTGGAGCAGAATTAGGCTCATTTGGCCCGTGGAGTTTGCTGTACCATTTGATCATGGCTGATGCTTTCTCAACCCCATTCTCCTGTCTTCTCCCCTTACTAATGAAGAATCTATCTATCTCAGTTCTAAACACCCTCAACGAATTGGCCTCCACAGCCCTCTGCGGCAATGACTTCTACAGATTAACCACCCTCTGGCTGAAGAAGTTCCTCATCACCTCAGTAATTGAGATAAAACCTTCAAGTGCCCAAAAACTCATCATTTCTTGTGAAACTCCACCAATGTTTGAATGTTTTTTGTTCTTGGCAACTTTTGTCCTTGCTCAACTACATGCTGTAGGCTATTTACTCTCACCTTTGCAAATTTACTTTTGGCCAGGTTTACCTCCAAATCAACTGATTGTAATTTCCAAAGCAAAACTTCCAATTGTTTCAAATATCCCCAAGTATCAGTGTAATCCAGTATATTATTAACATAAACTACACAATTAGGAGCGCTGGCTGCTTGGTTCATCATCCCTTGAAAGTCACTAGACACAATGTTTAGCTTGAATGGAATTGCTTGGGAATGGAAATAACCATTCAGTGTGACAAAGGTTGATATCTTTTAAGCTCTGGGCATTAAAGGAACCTGCTGGTATATTTTTAACATATCTAATTTGGAAAGAAATCTGACTACCAATTCAAACAGTACAAATTTTCAGAGAGGAATTGGTTAGGAGTGTGTCTCTGTTACATTATTGACTTTGTTGTAGATGATGCAGGATTTGGTTGAATCATCAAGCTGAAGTATTAACACAATTAGGGAACTCCAGCTGCTTTGACTAGGTTTAATTAGACAGTTTTCCAACAAGAGGAGGCAGATAGCGAACTTTGAATTTAAAAAAAAAACACCGACTATGAAACTACTGTTGGGAAAATCTCAATAATGCAAAAGATAAGCTGAGGCATTTGCAGCACTCTTCAGCCAGAAGTGGCCAGTGGATGATTTGTCTCTGCCTTCTTCATTGGTCGCCAGCCTCACAGATGCCAGTTGTCAGTCAATTTGATTTACTTTACATGATATCAAGAAATGCCGTAGCTATGGGCCCTAACAACATTCTGGCAATAGTACTGAAGACCTTTGCTCTCAAACTGCCACGCTCCTAGCTAACTGTTGCAGTACAACTACAATACTGGCATCTACCTGAAAACTTGGAAAATTGCACAATAACTAAATTCTACAGGTTATATGAGAATGACAACCCTTGACATCAAGGCCACATTTGATGAGTATGGCATCAAGCAAAACTGGAATCAATAGGAATCAGGGGGCAAACTCTCTCCTGGTTGCAGTCATGCTTGGCACCGAGGAAGATAGTTGTTGGAGGTCAGTCATCTCAGCTCCAGAAAATCTCTGCAGGTGTTCCTCAGGCTAATGTCCTGCACCCAAACATCTTCAACTGTTTTATCAAAGACCTGCCCTCCATCATAAGGTCAGAAAGTGGGGATGTTTGCTGATGATTGCACAAAATTCAGCATCATTTGCAACTCTTCAGATACTGAAGCAGTCCATGTTTAAATGCAATGAGCCCTGGAAATAGGGCTGATATGTGACAAGTAACATTTGTGCCATGCAAATGCCATACAATGACCATCTCCCTTAAGAGATAATGTAACTACTGTCCCCTAACATTCAATGGTGTTACCATCAGTGAATACCCACTATCAACATCCTGGGGTTTACCATTGACCAGAAACTCAACTGGACTTGCCATATAAATACAGTGACTAGAAGAGCAGGTCAGAGGCTAGGAATTCTGCAGCATGTAACTGCCCTCCTGATTCTCTAAAGCCTGTCCACCATCTCCAAGGCATGCGTCCGGAGTGTGATAGAATGCTACCCACATGCTTGGATGCATTCAGCTCCTACAACACTTAAGAAGTTTGACACCATCCAGTACAAAGCAGTCCACATGATTGGCAACACATCCACAAGTATCCACCCCCTCCCCCACTGATAATATTTATTTACATAAGAGTTAGAAACATCAAATTGTCACTTCAGGATTCAGAGCTTCTATACAATGTATAGTGAACAATGCCAAAAATCACACAACACCAGGTTATAGTCCAACAGGTTTATTTGAAAACACAAGCTTTCAAAAGCTTGTGCTTTCAAATAAACCTGTTGGACCATAACCTGGTGTCGTGTAATTTTTGACTTTGTCCACCCCAGTCCAACACCGGCATCTCCACGTAACGTTTCGTGGGTGAGTGGACATGGTAGTGCCAAAGCCTCGTAAAAGGTTATGTGTAAGAACTTGTGGATTTGCTTTTCAAAAAGTTCCCTGATGCAAACCATGATCTAGATACCTCTGAAGTGTTGTTGTTACAACTTTGATGGGAAGCGTGTGCTTGTAATCAAGCCCCACTTACTCCATGAGCCATATCAAAAGTGTAAATGTCTTATTTATTCACTAAAATGGCCAATTCTATTATCCAGAACAAAAGAGACTTTCTCTGGGTTGCTTCAATGAGCACAAAAATATCTTTTACCTTTTTAGTAAAATTATTCTTTCTACAAATGTCAAAATGGATTATTAATCAACCTACTCCCCCAAATTAAAATCTATCCTCTTAATCCCAATCACACGTATTCATTCACAAGTGAAGACAACACGGTTTTGTAGTGATATCACGAGTTTGGGGGATAAAAAGGCAAAATGAAGGAGCAACACCTTTGTAAGTCAAGGGTACGGATTCAGAAGATGCAGCTGTTTGAGTTCTTGCGGTTCTTTGCATTCCCTGTTGACAAGATTAAATTGCTGACAGTCACAGAATGACAAAAGGTTTTCAGACCAGCTTTGAGATTCAGGAGGGAAACAGTTATGAATTCTGATTATTGAAATTTTATCAAGTTTTCAAACTACTTCACTGAGAGAGAACTTTTAGCTAGTTTTGATTTCAAGTCTGTCTCTTGCTGACTGAGAGAATTGCCTTCTGCTGCAGGTTTCTTCAAAAACTCTTATCTCAGGCCCTGTGAAAACCAACAGCAACCTGATGTCAGCGGCTGTTGTTATGTGACAAACAGTACAGATAGAATTTTTCCCAAGTCTATTTGTCCAGCAATTAAGGGCTGTAAAATCCACATCTTAAGCATTTTACTAGACTCCAAATTTTCCACAAAGTATTTCCTTTCCCAGTCAGAAATCACACAATACCAGGTTATATTCCTTTCCCACTAAGCAGAAGATAATTCACAGTTTACTGGTCTTGTGGGCAGGACCTTCTAAGCACCTGAACAGCATGGGAATTGGCAAGTCAGTTGAGAAAATAGGATGAGATTATCAGAAATTAAATTCCTGGTGAGAGATAAAAGTCTGATTCTTTAACCGCATTTTGAACGGCAAGCAAGAATCTCATTAATGAGCATGGAGTAGTCAACTTGCAATCATTTGCATGAATTAGCATTACATGATTAACTAATCTCACTTCACCTGTATTCAATTTCCCATTCTCCCACCTGCCAGATATAGGATAGGTGGCGACAATTCCTGACAGGAAAGCCAGAGTGGGTATTTAGTGATTTCAGCTCACTATTTGCTCCTCTGGGCCTCTTCTTGGACAGCAGCCTTCAGCACCTCAGGGCACATTCCATGGATCCTGACTGCCTGCACCCTCCCATCCAATAATGTTGACATTGAACATGTACCAGTCTCATCACACCCTCATGACTCATATTCAATCCATTTAAGATACCATTCTCCACGTCTGTGCTGTACTTTTGAATGCATTGGCACCTTTCATTTATAATGCTCCTGCCAGGAAGGGCACAGGGACAGGCATCCAATTCACAGATTGAACAAGACTACATCCAGAGCTTCTTGCTTGCTTTCCCTTTTTGTGCTTTGCTCCCTCAACTAAAGCGAGCTTTACTTTGCTATTTAACATAGACAGAAAGCCAGGCAGCTTGTCTTTGTGTCAACAGTAATCAGTTAATGGGGTGGACATGTTGCTGTATGCCACCATGGGACATTTATCTCACACCTGCAGTGTGTGCCAGTAGCAAATAGCAGTGGCAAATATACTGCAAATGCTTCAATCAAATATCAATGTCTCAAAGTCTATAGGGAGTAGTCCTCAGTCAGATCATGAAAATGGTCTTTGTTTAGTCGGTCCCAATGCAGTAAGTCATTATTACCTTCCGCACACAGTCCAAGTGCTTGGACATGGTCAGTTGACCACTCAGAGTGATCAGGGTAAGGGGCCTGTAGCGTTACACATCAGGGTGGGCCACGATCAGATCTACGGGTCCAGTGTAACTAGTTGGGTGATTCACAATAA